TGTGTGTGTGTATGTGTGCGTGTGTGAGTGTGTGTGTGTGTGTTTGCTCAGTAGTCACACTGCTTGTCAGGCCCGCCATGGACTGAACGGGAAACATTATCGCCGCAGGGATCCTCTAAGTGTAACTAGATCTATCAAGATAATATCTCCGTAAGGGAATCCAGTACATACGTAATGCATGTTTTCATGTGGACCTATTATACAAACAACACCCATGTATAATCAGCCACATCGTATGGGACTGGTTCTAGACGGTCATATAATCGCCTATGATCGCCTAGGACTGGTTCAATAATACATGTACTTTGTGGCGTCGGTGGCCGAGTGGTTAGGCTACCGACTCGTAGTCATAAGCTTGCGGGTTCGGGGGTTCGAGCCGCGGGCCCGACGTTGTGTCCTTGGGAAAGGAAATTTACACGAATTTTCACCACTTTACCACGGTGAAAATGGGTACCCAGCTATAGAATGTGAAAGATCTTGTACGTTTGTTAGTGTTTGAGCCCTTAACCAGCTGCGTGCACTGTATTCTTCCCGGGAAGCTGAGAATGTTTCTGAGTGTTCTTTGGTTTCCTGGTGTAATAATATTACAGTGTAAAGCGCATAGAGATTGCTTTCGAGTGGGGACATGCGCTATACAAATGTTATTTATTATTTATTATTTACGAAATACAGGGACCACTGGATTTAATGTTCACATCTAGAAATACCGACAAAAGTAGGTAAAACGCTGACAGCACCCCCCCCCCCATCCCACTTGTCCTCGAGCCCTCTCTCCCAACAACACAAGGATCAGAATGCCTGAGTTTGAGCAAAGGACACCAAGCTACCTTTCTATATGATACAATCTGAGAGTAAATTGCGCCCGTAAAAATTAATCAGAATGTTATAAAGTACTAAAATTATGTCTAGACACAGATATATTCCAGTTATTAACAGACAACAGGTGTTATTCGGGTCATCACATCTGTTTCGCAAGAATATTATTCACGAGCACGGGCTATAAATGAATTAAATACAAAAGAAATCGATACAAAATAATTGGATACAAAAGAATATATCATAATATCGTGAAGGAAACAGATTGCTTTTGAAATCACGAAAAGACAATGCAAACCCTCCACTGTCGCCCTTCCGTCCACATTCTTCTCCGTTTCCCCTTCCCCATGTCATGCCATGACATATGTTTGAAAACAGCTCTACAACACATTGCCTAGGGATAATTAACAAAGCATAATTCAAATATACTCAACAGCACAAGACTACATTTAACACTGTGTAGAGTCACTCTTTGGAATAAGACAATCAAAGATGAGAAACCCACAATTGAAATAGTGAAGTAAATGAATCAAAAGTTGAGAAAACGAGTTAAATACTTTAGGGAAAGCATCATTATCTATATAATTGCCAACCTCTTCTACTTTTTTGTTACCATTTATTTTGGTTTGTTTGCTTTTTTATTTTTGTTGTAGTTGCTCTTAAGCACAATTGCAAAGCCGGAAAAACACATTATGGGCTTTCAAAGAAGATATTTATTCATTACGATCAGAAATGTTTTTCATTAAAATCCAAGAAACCTTTTATGTTGTAAAACACTAAATAGAAAAAGCTGATTAAGGCTCACCATAGGTAAATACGGTGTTTGCAAAGTTTTCTACATTTATTCATTAGTGCCTACTTTACATCGGCAAAGAGATAAGAAATTCTTCAATGTACTCGTAATGGTAAGATTGAACTGAGGAAAATTAAATAAATTTATATTACACACATTCAGCAAAGGCTGCTAAAACGCAAGCACTCACGATCGTACAATAGTAATGGAAGACAGAAAATGTGAGAGAAAATAGATAGATAGATAGATAGATAGATAGATATATAGATAGATAGATAGATAGATAGATAGATAGATAGATAGATAGATAGATAGATATATATAGAGAGAGAAAGAGCGAGAGAGATAGAGAGAGAGAATGAATCCTAAATGGGACGAGAGATGCTCATGATATATATATATAATGCATGAAAAAGCCATCACTTACTCAAAGATTAAAAAACCCCAGTCATAAATAACGTTTTCAGCATTATTACAATTGGCTTGAGTCATAAATTTTGCATGTTCATTTAGATTCTAATAACTCATATTTCAAGTGAAAATTATGTCGGCAATATGCTGAGTTATATTGCATTATTTAAAAAAATTAACCATTCTCTTCATGACTTCCCAGGATCGCAATTGTACGTACCACGCATATTTTAAGCAAATGATGGCGCTCTCACAAGAAATTTAACATTTTTATGCTTATTGTCTTGGCCTTTTATAAAGCTAATTCTGATTTTCCGGGATCAAGATAGCTGTCGTGATTAGCATAATAAGGGTTTCCAACTGTTCACCAGCCGTAAAACTTTGGTCTAAAAGTACGTTCTCTGACTAGTCTCTCTCTCTCTATCTCTTTCTCTCTCTCTCTATCTCTCTCTCTCTCTCTCTCTCTCTATCTATCTATCTATCTATCTATCTATCTATCTATCTATCTATCTATCTATCTGCCATAGATCTAAAAAAAAAATTATAATGCGTCTTCAGTTCTTTAGTGCATTCAAACGTATTGCACATTAAGATGAATATAGCTTGTGTCTTAAAAGATAGAAATCGCCATCACCATCACCTTCACCTATCCCGCAATCTGGCTGACCGTTGTTTGGACATCACTACGGATTTTGTAGCCAGTTTCTTCCATCTCTTTCGGTTCTCAGTTTTCTATAGTGAATATTCCAGTCACGTCCAATCCGCTCTCTGGTGTCGTTTTCCCATTGTTTCCCTCTATCCACTTCTTCGCTTTCATCCTTGTGCCGGAAAGTCTCGGCCAGCCCAGATGATTGTGTCATGCGCTTGTAGCATGCCCTTCAGTTTGTGCCTTTTCATTAGAGTCACAAAGTTTTCATAAGGCCCGATGGTACGACAAAAAATAGCCGGCGCAAATTTCCTTTGCATTTGGCAGCTTTCCTTCGACGGTTTTTTTCTTCTTTTGTCGGATTAAAATCTTGATATTTCCGTTGCCCGCAACACACTCTGTTTTCTAACTTTTCTGTCATGCATGCAGCCAGCTAGAAAATCATACAATCTTTGGTCAAGTGATTACATCTACAATCAATCACGTTTACCAAAAACAATTAATGACAATAATCCTGCCTGCCAGCTCATGTCCCCCAAATGTGCCAATACCATTAATCAGAACTCTGTACGGCAACACCTGTGTGTACTATTATCTCCACAAAACACACCAACCCCCAACCCCTACCCATAACTTTTAACAAACTAAAAATAAGAATTACAATTAAAATAAAAACGAACGAAAACCTCATACGGTGTAGCTTATGCGCGCCCAATAGTCATACCCCTTGTTTACCTTCTTGATAAACATTCTTACCTCAAAGTGAAGGTCACAGATTTATATCTATTTGTGACTATAACCTGCAAAAGTTTCAATCTCAGCGCTCTTGCTTGGTAAAAATCATAAACTGTGGCCCGCAATAATTTATAAATAAACATTTTATTCAAGTACCTGAGCATAACAATC